AAGTAGGTAAACGTAAACATTTACCGGGTAAACTTACGTGCAGGATTACATCAGCATCTGTTTAGCGGTGTAGAGCACGTGCGATATTATTATATAATAACGACAGTGCAATATTATTTATTCYTCATAAACCTATTGCAAACTGCAACCTACACCTATTTACGATAGACGCAGAAGAATGTGCGCCGCGACGGCGGTAATAATAATATTTTCCTTACCCACACGAAACACAGAATCATTATTATTCTTATTCTTTTTATTATTGTTATAATATTTGTCTATATAGTCAGGCTCTGAACGCGCGAGGTGAGTCACGCTCGGTGGCCGCCGCCGCCGCGGATAAACCGAGCGGATAGGAGTAGAGGAACAACCACGGTACTCACCTGTTGTTCACCTGCAACAACCGCGGTAATCGTGGTTGTGGTGGTGGTGGTSGTCGTGATCGTGGTCGTGGCTAGCCAATGTTTATGATATTATCGTCCGTCCTCGGTTCGCGGCCGTCCGTCGTCATACGCACGCCGTCACGGCGACAGAACGCTAGCGACACCGGCCGCATCCGAACGCGCTTTTCACTCGCGCAACGCGACGCGAAAAAATTAAACAATATTATAATAATAATAATCGTTCATTTCGCTCGCCGTCATGTTCGCCTACACCGCCGCCGCCGTCTGTTGCACGCTGTTCGTCACCGTCGCGGCCAGGCGCGGCCAGAACGCCGTGACCCGTCCGACGACGACCGCGGATTGGCGCGAAGACTCGTCCGGCAGCCTTACGCGTTCGCGCGGCTCCGTCACTCCGGCCGGTGGTTCTTCGTGCTGCAACGGGCCGTACACCACCGCGGCTGCCTACCCGTCGTACAACACCGTCCCAAGCCCCCGAGAAGTAAATACATTTATATATATATATMTATTTTAAATCATATATGTTATWTTGTCGATAACCTAATGCCTTTYTGGCATCCCATCGAACMCGGTCATCCCATAATTCCCAGCTTATTAATCATATCCGGCCGTGGGGTGAATGTGTTCCGGATCTGTCACTTCCCTTGAGCCCTTTTACGCTATTTGAGTATTCTAATCTTGTTCGGTGACTATTATTTTACGACTATAATTATAAACATTTTTGTGATCATGATAATAATATTATGTATTATGCAGGACTCATTCCCCTACCACCTAACCGATAAATCTCTTTTTGTGCACCACTATTGCATCCTGTTGCAG